CTCTCGGAGTACATAACGAGTTTCAAATTGGAAAATCTACTTAGACGCAAAGTTTGCGAACTTATGCGCGGCGCTGTTGTTTTCCCCTGTTTTCTCCTCTCGTCCCTGTAAGATTATGCAGTAAACTTTAACTGTAGTTCAGTTTACGTGCTATGGACACTCTTTTTACAAAAATATGGTCATGGAACATAGGTTTTAATAAAATTACTTTTGTTTAAATCCAATAATACGTATTGATGACAAAAATTTTATTAATAGGAGAACACAGGAGAATTTTTAAAGATAGGTGACAAAAATATTAGAAGTATTTTATACATACTATCGGGACGTAACACGACGAAAATTGCAGGTAAATAGTACCTACATACTGGACTTTTATTGCCGTCGTTTCGACAATATATGTGTCAACAACGCGAAAGTTTAAAATTAAGTAGTTTTTGTTTAGCAAAAAAAAATTGCAATTTCAATATTTCGTACTTCTTTGTGATTCGTAATTATGAATAATCAACGAAGACATTATATCTCTAGTATGGAATGATTATATTATTTAATTGGGTATAATACACACGTTCAAAACTGTCATTTTCAAGTCGCTTAAATTTTATGCACTTTACATTTAGACTTTTACAACTGGACAACGGAAATTTAATGAACTTATTGTGTGTCGTTTCCGACAATTGTTTCGTTATCCTACGGAATTCTTCTTTAGGGCGCCTACGGTGCTTACTTAATCGTAACATCTCGCCTCGTAAACATAGTGTGTTCTTTAAAGTCTCCTTTCGTCAGGTTATATACAAATGTTTAGAATAATGAACACAAGTCCTAAAAATAATATTAGGTATAATATATTTTTTTATAATATAGGGAACATAGGATACGGCTCACCTGTGATAAGTGATTATCGCCGCCCATAGGCTTTCGCGACATATAAAAAATTGGAGATGTGTTTATTTATTTATTTATTCCACAATAGAACTTTGTGCAAATGGCGAGCGTTAATGCCATATGACATTGCCGTGTTGCCGGTCTTTTAGGAAGTAATATGCTCTGTTTTTAAGGTTTTAATATCATATTTATTCGGAAATATTGCTGCCGTGAGTTGATTCCATAGCTTGGTTGTGCGTGGAAGAAAGTGTCTAGAAAAACGAACAGTGGAGGATCGCCACTCAAACAGATTGTCGAGATGGAACTTCAGCTTTAATATTAAAAAAAAAGAGAGTGCATGTAAACTTACCATTTAGATAGATAAATTATTTATTTATGTATTTTTATCTACATAATAATAATTGAGAAAATTTTTATAAAGGCTCAGCAACAACTCTGTCGATTGATTCATTATGATTGCAACTACGTATCAAAAATCAGTATTGTAGGAGATATCAGAAGATAATACCTACGGGCGAATTTAAGACTTTCACTATTTGAAAGTAGTCTAATTAATTGTCTTCTAAAATTATTTAATGAGGTATTTCTTCGAAAATTACAAGTACAGTTTTATTAAAAATGATAGTTTTTAGTTTGTATATCTAAGTAGGGCTAAGATATTATGCCTCTGTACCTTATAATTTCACTGCCGTCTTTTAAATAGAAACTGCTAGTATATTCATAAACAATATATTCAACAATGTTGTAGGGAGATATTTAAACGAAATGATAAAGTGTTAAACAGATACCTAAGTGTGTCACAGTAAATTATGTAGTACATTCTCAACGACTCTTATTCCATTGTTCGCAAGGATTGCAATTGTTGTTTTATCTCCCTTTATACAATACAAATATGTTAGCGTGAAACACGAGTGCAAGTAGCTCAGATTAAAAAATCATCCAGAACAATATAACCGTATCAGCTATGAGATCTGATGCCGGTGCCTACCTAACGAACGGGAAAAAAGAAAAAAAAATGGCGGGAATTTGATTCATAATTATTAAACATGGCGGCTATCTATGAATACGATCTAAAATACTGAACTGCATAGATATTGGCAAATAACATGAACAATGTTTCTCTATTGTGTGACCTGCTCTGTTTTTTATTATAAGTTTTTTTGTATACAAAAATCTTAGGCAAAAGAATCTACTGTCTAAGATTGTCTATAATTTTGTTCAGGTTATTTGCCACGAACGAACTGTAGTTAGCCTTTATTTATGAGACGGTACAGTCCTCAGCAGTCGGTAGTATTTAATACTAGCTGTGACTGTGATTGTAACTTCGTTCATGTGTTCAGGATAAAAATTCAAAATTTTTAAGCCTTAAGGGTCATCGATGTGGCAGGAGCTTGTTACTAACAAGACAACCATCAATCCGAATGTGCTTGATTGCCAACCGTAAAAAATCGACACGGATGTCGTTACTAAAAGATCCTAACTGAGGAATAGTCAAATTACGAGCGGGCTATAAACTGAAAGAAGAAAATATACCTCCTGAGGCGGACCCTTCGAAAATGTAAATAGCCAATCTTAACGGAATTGGTCAAAGGGCAAGAGGCGCGAAATCACTGTCGATTTGGACGATACGACATACCGCGACAACTTTGAACACACTTCGACAAACTGTAGACTGCATTCTCAAAAAAATTTATACGCTTATTCCAAAGCTATAAGGTTCAAATTTCAAGTAAAAGCTCGTGACATAGAGCAATGTTATCGATGTTTATCTATAGGTATTTGAACACAATACAAAGCGTAATAAAATAAACTGGCCACAATAATTTTTATTGTAAGAAGGGCTCTCGAATTATCATTTAGATAGGGTGGGATGCAATATGGCGCGAATTCGGAGCTCAAAAAAATAGATGGACGGTGAACACGGGGCGACAATTGAGTTACGGTTAGGGATGCCCATTTGCTGGTGTTTTTTTGGGATTTGCTTAGGTAATTGCATTCATTTTATGAGGATCATTTTATATTAGCGGTTAGTTTGATTTATGTTACTTTTTAGTCATTATCGTTTAGTATCTACATAAATATTTTAGTATTGTTTCTTACGCATTGTCTCTTCTGTGATTAGATTCAATAATTTACTTACCTTAGTAGGTTGGAGTACATTTATATACCACATCATTTGTTCAGTTATTATTTTACCTACAAAATCAAGGAATACAAAAGTCTTATTAACTTAAAGTATTTCAAGTAATTTTCAGTACTTTATAATTTAATTATGTATTATCTGAATTAATTATCTATTTAATTATGTATATAATTAGTTAAAATAGACCTTGCGTGCCCTCAAATGTTTTATTTCTGTTTACTTTTTGAACTGTTTTTAACTGGATGTGGTATATTTTTTATTTTAATACAGTAATATCAGATATAGAGAAGACGTTGATAATTTATTAATAACATAAGCCCATTGTTGTCATATTGTGTATTCATAACAAGCATTGCAATTTAATTCAAATATTAAATTTTAATCTGGACGTCAGCGCCAACGAGTATTAATGACGAACTCCCCACAAGATGGTATTCCCCTGAAACACATTAGTCTGCAGCGGAGAGGGTGACGGAGCGATCATTGTGCCATAAGCGATAGCGATTTTTAATTCGTAGCAGAACTTATTTTTATAGTACTGCGGAAAAAAGGAGCATTGTTGGTGCCTCTGTATGTACTTATATTTAATGTCTGGCGGTTTTTTTACACTACCGAATATGTTAAACAAACTGACGACTCAATGGAAAATGGCAACCATCGCCTATAGACACGAATAGCAACTTTGTAGATTAAATGGCAGAGTGGATTTTAATGAAATACGTTTTATTTATAAAATTGTAAAAATATTAATTAATGTTAAATATTCAGTCAGGTTTTATAATCTTGTCACGAAATGTTACAACTTCCCATATATGTATTTGTGTATTCGCTATTTTTTCTTACGTGACTTATATTTTTTTATAATTATGTTATGTAATTACTTCTCCAACTCTGAACCGATTTTTACCTATTTTTTTTTGCAATCGATAGGCTGTTTCCGTTGGTCTTATTATTTGGCTTTTCGTTATGGAACAAAAAGCTGCTTGTTACAAAGCAAAATCTAAATATTAAACACGCAATATTCTAAGTTAAATCTACAAATGAAATTGTTACAGAAGCACGATACATATCGTTATTACAACTATATACTTGTCCAAATTTAAGACATCAGACTTAGCTGGGTGTATGTCTACTTCAGATTATTTTTTTTAAATTGAAATCGCTATTTTATCATAACTCTAGTAGCAGCTTTACAATGACACGACGCGGCGGCAGTGGTGTGGGCTGGGGGACGACGCAAATGGAAAGAGAATCAGTGCTGATAAATGATTTTGGTACAAATGTTATTTTGATCTTTCGCGATATCGTCCGATTTGTTTGGGGCGTGCGCAATTACAATTCGGTTGGTGTTCGCCTTTTTGATTGCATTATTCGATGTTCGGTTGCAGGTTTGTTGCTTTATTTATCAAACTTAACATTGGTGTTGTGCGTGTAATGTTATAAGTTCAGATAATAATGTCGATATAGACTGAGCAGTATCGAATTTTAAATTGAAGACATTATTTTGAGTGTGAGTTCTTTCTCTCATTCATTTTCATATGCTGTTCCCATGTTTTTATATATTTTAATATGTGAGATAAGTAAGCGGTTATGTAGTCTATTCAGAATGTTTAATTATATACCTTCCTACTTTATACTATATATTATATGAAGTGCAAATAAACATGAATTTTAGCCTACAAACATGTTTTCATGTAGGTAAATGTACTTATTGCTATTTTTACATTTTTCATTAAAATTGCAATTATCAACCTAAATTACATACATACAAGAATTAAGAGAAAAATAAAAGCAATAAAAAATTATCTTGATATTTATTTTAATGTGACTATCTATGAGGTGGCTATAAGATAATTGTATTAATACTATGATTTTATATATAATATTTTATATATAAAATCATAGTATCATAATTTTATATATGATTTTATATCTGTATATTGTAGTGACAATATCTATATTTGGCCCCAATAAGGATATATTATATATATCGGTTATTCAACAATTATATAATATCGAAATTAACATCTAATATAATATAAAATAATCTGACCGGTGTGAGCGATATCAAAATGGGCGACGAACTATTTTCCCGCCATTAATATACAGAGGATTTGCATTTGGCGTTCCATTGTTTCTGCCTACCCTAATGGGAGACAGGCGTGACAGATATGTATGTATGTAATATACAGATATAGGAGTATTATCGATGTGACCCGTATATATTTCTATTAAGATTATTGTCTTAATATTATCAATTAATAAAGTTTACAATTACTAGGAAATCAATTCTTGGTCTGCTTTAGTTTCAACGCCCGTTGACAACACTCTTTGCCGGTTTACCCTGTAATTTGAAAAGATAACTGTTATAGAAATATAGCCTAAGATCTTTCTAACTGAGGGCAGGGCCTCTAGACAAGTGGCAAGCGAATTCGTCAATAGAATCGACATCGCTAGCGAGTCTCTAAGTTGAAATGAGTCATCCGGCGTTGCTATCTCATTCTGTCTCACGGACTCGCTAGCGATGTCAATTCTATCGACGAATTCGCTTGTCACTTGTCTAGAGTCTGGTGACTCTTATCTTCAGCCGACTTAAAAAAAGAATGAGGCCCTCAATTAGGTTGTGTTTTTTACTTTGTTACCTCATAAATCCATCAATTGTAAATCGATTGAACAATTGTTTTTTATCTGAAAGGATATTCCTACTTAAATATTGATCCATGAAAATTGGTTTTAAAAAAACTGTTTTCAAAAAAACTGGTTTTATCACAATTGAAGTAGTTCTTTTTTGTGAAGATCAATTTAATTATGTGTCTTATTGTATTTCCATTATAATGCCCTTTAATTTGTCTAAAAACAATTATTCTAAATGAATGAATGTCTAAAAGTTGTTAATGGTAATGGTAGCCATTTGTCGCTAGCCAAGTCAGATGCACTGTAATACATTTTCGTTCATCTTTCATACTTAAATTCAAATTCAAATCACCTTTATTCAAATTAGACTTGTTTACAAGCACTTTTAAAACATCATATTTTTTTTAATGTACTACAGGGTTCGAAAATTTTTATCTGTTGAAAAGAACTCGCAAGAAACTCAACTAAAACACTTTTAAATCTTAGTATACCCATGCGTGAGCAATCCATGCTAAAGTGGTGTTGTTTAGGCGTGGACCCATGAGCGGATTTATTTGTCCAATATATACCGTCACCCAACTGAAATGGAAAACAGATGTAATGGGTGAATTTTTAAAAGAAACCTCATTGTATTGGTCAAGTATAAATACAGTTCACCAGAGGGAGACTTTGTACAAAAGTCGATTGCTTGGGTACCTCTGTCCCATTCGTGTTTCAACCGTGAAGCAGTTGTGTTTGCATGACTGTGTTTCGGTTTGAAGGGTGGAATATAGCGTGAATTTACTGGGTACAGAGGAATAACATTTGAGTCCTCAGGAATGGCAACGCATGGGGGGTATCATGGGCGAAACAGTATACTCTGTTATGTCCATTGTACTGCTCATGTCTATAGGCGACGGTTACTACTTTCCATTAGGTGGGCCGTCAGCTTGTTTGCCATACTAAGTTGTACAAAAAAAAAAAACAGTCAGAAGATAAGGATGTTTATAAAGCCTTTATTTATAAACATGAATTCTTCTTCGATATAAAACGTTGCATTGAGAAGAATTAAAGAAACATAAGTAACCAATATATTAAGTAACATTTCCACTGAATAACAACCATTTAATTTAATAGAATAAAATAAATATGGGATCAACGTGTGAGGAAATCCTATCAATTGAATAAAGAATTATATATATATTTTTTATTATTATTGGCATACGAGTTTAAACCGTTAACTGTCCATTGTTGAACATAGGTCTCCTTCATATTTGGAAGTTTTGACCGTAGCTGCCACGCTTGGCAGGCGGGTTGGCGACTGCAGTTATAATTTGGTGATGTTTTAAGAGGGACACTCCTGCCCATCTCTCGACTATGAAATTCCTTTAGTCGCCTCTTACGACACCCTCGAGAAAGGAAGAGGTGGCCTATTCTATGCCGAGACCACACGGCAATTGTCTTAAATTGGTAAATATGTCGCGTAAAACAAATTTAGGCGGTTTGAGAATCTCATGTGTTTTGAAATTTACTCAAAATACTTACAATATCCACATGGAGAAAGCCGTCAGCATAATACTGCATCTCACAATTCTGAGAAAGGAAACACGAGATTCCATTATTTTACATGTAATAAACTTAGAAAATACTTAATAGATTTCAAAATTTTTTATCATCTATAGAAAGCTTCATTGTCAGAGTAAAATGGACTATATTTAATTTAAAAAAATCTTGTGAAGCTAATGTGGATCGGTAGTATACGATATATCACAACATCTATGAAGATATTAACTTTACATTTAATTGAATAACGCCTTACATACATAAAACATGTATACATTTCTATCATCATATCAGCCTTTAACTGTCCACTGCTGAAAATAAGCCTTCCGCTTAGGGGGTTTTTGCCAGTAGTTGCCACGCTTGGCAGGCGGATTAGCAACCGTACTTAGGCTTTGATGATGTTCTAAAAGGGACGCTGTTGCCCTTCCCTCGCCTTTCCTTAGTCGCCTCTTGCAACACCCACGGGAAAGAAAGAAGTGATCTTTAAATACCGCATGCACAGTAAGGTATATATCTCTATACATAATGTTTATTTTTTGAACACGTATTGTAATTTAGTCGCTATGCGAAGACAGAGGAGGGAAGGATTGGCAGTAATCAGGTTGACCTCCACGTGTTCTTCTCTAGAAAGTATCATGGTAAATTTTTGACGAATTAATCACGATGGGCCAACTGACTTTTATCTCCACTGGTCACTTACCTCTCGCTGGTCCCCGCCAGCTCATATCTATAAATCAAGCGGGGTTACCATTCTATTATCATCCTAAAAAGAAAAACCAAGTGTACATAGACAATTTTAAAATACTCACTCTTTATTAGGTCCCTTTCGGACAAGTAATGGACCAATGATAAAGATTATAGCAAAAACAGCAGTTAGAATATAGATCGGCATATGGAGATTGGAGCTTTTGACATTATTTGACCGTGGTAATGGCGCTCCTGGTACATCAGATAAAAATGATGGTTTGCTATTAATCTCACCAGATTTAATTTCTTTCGGCATTATTATTAATATAAATTATTTCCCAATTCCAATTTCAAGATTTTAATGAAACCTTAAAGTAAATTTAAAGAGACAAATTAATAATTTTGAATGACGGTTCCGAAGCAATAGAAAGGTATCAAAAGTCTCGTAATTCTAGTAAACTGTTATTGATAACTGCTTTAGAGGTTTTATACAATTTTTAATCATATATTATTATTTACGTTATTAATAAGGTGCCAGATAGTTTCAGTAAATCATTACTTAATTAATTCAGCACCTTTCTGCACCGGAGTGCAAGTATCAACATTGCATTGTGTCACCTTCAACTAAAATTTAATGCCTAATTATTATTTGGAGTAAAAAGGTAGACCTTTTGATGTGTAGTATCCATCGTCTGTAGACATACAACTATGAGTTGTACTCCTAGATATCACACTATTAGACTAATAAAGTAAAGATTTAACAGTATTGAATTACAAATTGTAGGATTGTCAAATATGATTTTAACAGGTAGCAATGACGACACCTTCCAGCTCAAGAGTTAGTGGCTCATTCCATTTGTCCCTATTGTTTCCGCATTTTACCATCAGAGTATCTACTAGAATGGTTCCTCTTTTAATCTAGTAGGTATTTCAGTCAATACCCATTAACGTCCTACTGATAGGCACGGGTCTCTCTTCATTATAAAGATGTCTAATTATTGAAGCTTTTGCATTGTTAAGTTTTACTCCCTTAGTCGCCTTACAACATCTTGAGAAGAAGGAATGGTGACATACTGTATTCTTATTTTTAGTATTCTTACTATTAAAATGAGCATGGGAAGCATAAGAAAGAAGAGAATGTGGTAAGAAAAGTTTTACGTATAAATGTGTATTAGAAGTAGTATAAGGTTACAAAAGTAGTGGAAGACTCAGGAAGAGATGAATTGACTGTATGAAAGATGATGTGGCTAGAAAGGGAGTGAAGAATGAGATAACTGTAAATAGAGATGAAAGGAAAAAGAAAATAAATTACTATAGAAAAGGATAGGAATATGATGACTCTCACGATTTAGCTCCTAACTATAGAGAAACTGTTCAATCTCTAAGAATCCAATACGTAGTGAGCTGAATTTTAAAAAGAATAATTAAAAATATTATCTGCTTGATCTTCTTAATAATACACAATGTTACGATGGCTGTCACTGGCAGAAGTCATGTTTCTTGATATAAAACGTCAATTGCTACAAGCCAGTTACATACAACCATGAAATAGTTAAGACGCTGAGAATTCTATAACGAGTTCTCATAGCAGTAACCGTGTATTTCCTCATAGGACCCGAGGGCCGATCGTCTGATCGCTCGCTATCGCTCGATCGCGATAGTGGGAGAGCGGGCATGCGCGCGCACCTATAATGACTCAATTATCCGCTTAGGGGGGGCGTGGTCCGGAACAGTATGTCTTCATTACACGACCATCGTTTGATAAGTATGGAAGTGGGCTTAGGAACATTTTAAAATTTTAAAGTTTTACTTGATTAAAAAATACATTGTTCATTTTATAACTTGAAATGTCAAACAAGCTGAGTGCCCACCCGATGAAAATTACTTATTTTTCTGTCTTTATTAGCTAACCTATTTAGTCTCTCCAAATCTCTAATTAATTCATATTAATGATAGGCTCTATTTTAAATTAGGTTTTCATATTTTAAAGTCAATAAGGCATAAATTTTGTTTTAGGAAGCTGTACTCGTAAGTTACAAAAGGTTCAGTGAGGCCTGTTCTTGCTATTTAATACGGGCGACGGACTTAACCTCTTTAGTGAAAATAATGGTGATTATTGAAGGATTAAAAGTCGTTATTATGTTATTCACAGAAGAAATAGCGTATTATTTCGAAAAATGGGTAAATGGAGTATACGTTCGTCATGATGGTTAACCAATGCCAATAACTACTCCATACTTAGCTTTGGATAAATTTTACGAATTTGTTTGTTGTCATTTATTTTATTTGTAGTTTAGTTATTACCGTGTGGTTCCGGCATAAAATGGGCCACCCCTTCTTTTCCCGTGGCTGTCGTAAGAGGCGACTAAGGGAACTAGATGGTCGAGTGATGGCCAGAAGCGTCCTTTTTAAATCATGACCAAAGCTTAACTACGGTTGCCAACCCACCTGCCAAATGTGGCAACTACTGGCAAAACACCCTTTATGGGATAGGCCTATGTTCAGCAGTGAACAGTTAACGGTTTTTTTTATACAACTTAGAATGGCAAACAAGCTGACGGCCCACCTGATGGAAAGTGATAATCGTCGCCTATAGACATGAGCAGTACCATGGACATAACAGAGTATACTGTTTCGCCCATGATACCCCCCATGCGTTGCCATTCCTGAGGACTCAGTTGTTATTCCTCTGTACCCTGTAAATTCATGCCATTCAATCGGTTGAAATGATGATAGTTCATAACTAATCAGATTTACAATTTAATAAGCTTTGCCTTGCATTTACTCTAAATTATTTAACGACCATTGTACCATAATACCAGTATAATTGTAATTAAGTTTAACACCATAGCAAGTGATATTTCTTTTAAATTGAAATCATTGGGTGTGTTACGAAAATATAATTTAGAGTTGTCAAGAAAGATTATTAGACGTAAGAAGTATTAACAAATACTAAATATTTGTAAAATGGACTGTCTATATATCTTCAGCTCTATCACGAACATGTACAGCATAGGACGTTATCTATTGGTACTGGGAAACCGCAAAGAATTTATTGGTAATATCGATGGACGGCGTGATGGCTATTTACGGAGGATTCTTGTTCGAAAATATAGTCCGCTTAACGTTATCTCTGTGATCATCGAGATCGACCTGCAGGGTCATGAATTGATTCTTAAGTTTCTATTTTAGATACGGTTTGCAGCAAATCATATAATATCCCACGATTGTGTTAGAGATCAATGCTGCAACTAGAATGCGCCTAGATGTTTAGACTGCCTTATACTCGTAATTGGCTTGTTTTCTTATAAGAAATTCTATGTCATTAAATATTTCTAAACTTTTAAAGTTTCAAATATTTATAATGTTAAAGGTAACAACGAATGGCACGATTTGAGAGAACATCTGTAAATATGAACTAGTCTGCAGTTAAGTGAAATGTTTATTAATTGAAAAAAGGCCCACAGTGTCTTAATCAAATAATTTTTTAGATGATTTAGGTACAACTCCTTGAAGAACACTAGAACAATTGGTTTTTCTGCCAACACTTGGCTACGTGGATATCCACACCACTTTTTTCTGATTTTCTTTATGATGTTTAGAATAGAGATGAATGGAAAAAGAAAACATATTACACCGAACTCAAATAGATACGGGAACTTACTAATTAACCTAGTTACTTGAACAGTGCAGGCAACTGCCAAGTAAAGCGGACTGTGGCATCAGATGTTTAGAGTTGTAACAGTTGTAGGTTATGGACGGACTTGAAAATTAAAATAATATTATGTATATCATACCAAAATATATTCCTCTTGTAATTACGTATTGGAAAAGTCATGGGCTTTTGGTTTCTGGTGTGTACTTACCCCTTTACTGTCAAATCATTAGTAAAATAATGGACTGTTATTATGTTTCATCAAGAAATATCTAGAAAGAGAAAGCTAATTGAAACGCAAAAGTTTATTGAAATAAAATCATTTTCAACTGATGGTAGAAAGAAATTATGTATTTGTTATAATATGGAAGTTTGTACGCTTTATTCTTGATATACTATGTCGTCTATATAATGTAATGTTTAAGAATTGTAAAATTAATATCATGTTAAACGGTCAAGTCAAAAATCTTATAGGCGAGCCACCCTTAGTGCGTGACTCCTGCCAAAGGGTGTGAGAAAGGGTCGGCTTTTGACAGCTGTCAGGCTGTCATTTTGACTGGGTCAAGCGGCCTTCAGCCGAGTTCAATTTCCAGGTCCGTAGATGTAGCGCGCTTAGAATTTTGATTTTGCACCAGTACCTACCCGAAACCGCAATTTTGCTCGCGTGAATGACTTTAGAATGTATTTTATGTATCCATAAAGTATTTTATGTACGCATCAGCGTAACATCATTCAAATCTTTTAACCATTGAAGCGTTAAACTTTAACATTTGTAGAATTTTTTTTTTGTAAAATGTGACACATGGCACAGTGGTTTATTACCCTATCTTAACAACATTATTTGTCAATTGAAGTTTGTGACTAATTCTCTGGTGATAGAAAACACCGATATCAGATTAAATTATTATTACTTATTAAATACAATCGAGTGACGGCGATGTTCTCACCTCCTGCTACACCGAAAAATGTGGGTACATTAAATGATACGTTCGCCATAATCAAAACAGTCTATAAATGTCTCTGGTTATCAAATTAGATATTATAGTAGTGACCATAATTATTTCCCTAGTTTCATCAATATAGTGCAATGCTGACTCTTAAATGACGTAGTTACCTACAGTTGTTAGGTACTTACTCTTGTTGGATATAAGAATGCCAGCAGAAAGTTTTTTTTTTTCTTTTTACTAATAGAATTACATAACCGAAGGAAAACAGACAAACTTGATTACAGATATATGATAAAGAGATTGACTTTTTATCTTTTTTTTACTATTCTGACGTTACCTTACATTTAGGTAATTTTTTTTCGAAGGTTTCAGTAAACCGACATCCGTACAAATAAAATATAAAATACATCTAAAACATTACTAAAGTACTTACCTAATATTCGGATACCGACAGATATTGGTGGTATAAGACCACAATTTTCTAAATGTAGAAACACAAAAGACACAATTTCTTTGAATACAAAATTTATATCTATTCGCATATGCAAATTTGCATCATACATCGTTGCAGCGGGCCGGAACGTAGCATGCGACTCTGCTGCCGGAATAAATCACAGCTGATTTATTTTTATTCAGCTGGCAGCACTGACGCGTGTATTTACACTATGCACCATGGTGCATTATATTTTACCCGACTACTGAAAAAAGAAGTGTAATGGTTTTTTTTATACAACTTAGAATGGCAAACAAGCTGACGGCCCACCTGATGGAAAGTTGTAACCGTCACCTATAGACATGAGCAGTAGTATAGACGTAACAGAGTATACTGTTTCGCCCATGAAACCCCCTATGTGTTGCCATTCCTGAGGACTCAGATGTTATTCCACCGTACCCAGTAAATTCACGCCATATCCCACCCTTCAAACCGAAACACAGCCATGCAAACACAACTGCTTCACGGTTGAAACACGAATGGGACAGAGGTACCCAAGCAATCGACTTTTGTACAGTCTCTCTCTGGTATTGATTGTTGCCAGTTGGTGGAATTTCAAGTTGATATCTTAATAGAGTTAATACAGTTAATTTATTTGATTTGGTAATATTTTATATATTTATTTATCATATTATGTATATGTTAATATTAGTCTAATTATATGTTTATAATATATGAATAAATTAAGTATTATTTTCTATTTCTTCAATTCAATAATACACGGCTACTTATTTCTCTGTTTGCCCAATGGTTGACTGGTAGAGAACATTGTTAAGGTGTTAACTACGCTAAATGTACTTAAAATTTCACTGTGTATTAAAGTTTAAATATAGTAAATATAATAAAAAACATTTTTTTTTATACGACTTAGAATGGCAAACAAGCTGACGGTCCACCTGATGGAAAGTGGTAACCGTCGCCTATAGACATGAGCAGTAGCATGGACATAACAGAGTATACTGTTTCGCCCATGAAACCCCCTATGCGTTGCCATTCCTGAGGACTCAGGTGTTATTCCACCGTACCCAGTAAATTTACGCCATATCCCACCCTTCAAACCGAAACACAGCCATGCAAACACAACTGCTTAATATGTACTATTTAAAATTTTATATGTATAATTAATGAAATATATTTCATAACTATTTTATTACTATCATTCATCATTCATTTGTTCATTTTATAACAAATGTTGAAATTGTCTGTTAATTTTAATATATAGTTTAATATTAGGTATTCGAAATGTACTATGCTAGTGAATTACAATAGTAAATAAACAATGAGATTTCTATGAAGTTATTACTAAAATATTTGGAACTTCAGAAGCGAAATATGAAGTAAGTGCAAAATTTTAGTGGTAGGTAGGTATATGTGCAA